GCATAGTAAGCTTAGCCCAGAACATAACAGGCACACAACCTATGTCCAACCAATACTTAAATGAGGGAAGGCAAAAGTAGTTCCCAGCACCAACCAGCACACCCACAGGTCTGCATGAGGGCTTGAAAGCCAAGCCCCAAAATACTGAGGGCCAGGTAAATGCTGATGGTGGTCAAAAAGGATCTGCCCCTATCCAGGAGTATCTGGATGGAGACAGGAGGGTACATAGGTAGTAAAGAAGAAATGTGATCCAGGATTTCATGGAGAAATGCACTTGAACTGGGGAACAGACTAACACCTACAGGGTCCTATGGCACCAGAGAGCAGGCTTCCACTGAGTTCACTGCCACCCTATGTCTTAGAAGATGTTTGTGCTTAGGGGAAGAGGAAAAATGAGAGATTGGGCCCACCAAAGCTATTGCTTCTTGGTCAGGAAATACCTTCCAATGGCCCAAGTTAAACAAATTGATAGTACAGGCTGAGTACAGTGTGAGGAATACTGGTAAGTCACAGGGCAAAGTCAGCACAACTTGACCAAGGTGAATACAGACACTAAGAAGTTCATAATAAAAAAGGAACAATTTCTGTAAAAGCTTTAACATTTTTGCAAAAAGCAGTGAAAATAAATATGTGTATGGTTACATAGGTAGATATGGATGCTTGTTTTTATAAGGTGCTGTCAAGTCCTCACAACCTCATGTACAAGAGAATGAAGCATTACCCAGTCCTGTATCATCCTCACAATCACTGCTGTGTTGGAGCCCACTGTTGAAGCTACTGTGTCAATCCAGGGTCTTTTTCACTGACCCTCTACTGTGCCAAACATGATGATATCCTTAAAGTCTCACCATCCTTGCTTCCAAGAAGCATTCTGGTACTTCTTGCAGAACAAATGTGTTCTTTCTTTTGACAATCCGTGGTATATTAAATATTCTTTACCAACACCATAATTAGAGGCATCAATTCTTCTTTGATCTTCCTTATTCATTGTCCACAATTTGCAAGTATATGAGGCAATTGAAAATACCAAACCATCCCTTGGGTCCGGTGCACCTTAGTCCTTAAAGTGATATCTTTGCTTTTAAACACTTTAGAGAAGTCTTGTGCAGCAGATTTGCCCAATGCAATATATCATTTGATGTTTTGGCTGCTGCTTCCATGGGCATTCATTGTGGATAAGTCCTTGACAACTTCAATCTTTTCTTCGATTATCATGATATTACTTATTAGTCCAGTCGTGAGGATTTTTGTTTTCTTTGGTTGAGGTGTAATCCATATGAATGAAGGCTGTAATCGTTGATGTGCATCAGTAAGTACTTCAAATCCTTTTTAATATCAGCAAGTGAGGTTGTGTTATCTGCATATCCTGATGCCACATTCTTCTTCATACATATATATATTCCAACTTCTCAGATTATTTGATCAGCATACAGATGAAATAAGTATAGAAAAGGATACAACCCTGACACCTATCTTTCCAGATTTTAAACCACTTAGTGCCTCTTCTCTTGGTCTCATAGATATAGATGCATATGCTTACAGATATGCCTATATATGCATACACATTTACTTACATATTCTTTTACATATATATTTTGTTGTTGTTGTTGTTGTTGTTGTTAAGTGCCATCGAGTCTATTCCGACCCATAGCGACACTGAATAGGGTTTCCGAGGAGCAGCTGGTGAGCTTGAACCACTGACCTTGCAGTCTGGCACATTAACCCACAGCGCCACATCAGAACTCATATATATATACAGTGCCTCTGCACAGAGTTTCCAAGGAGTGACAGGTGGGCATCCATATGAAGGAGAATGTAGCATCAGGATATACAAATAATACAACCTCACTTGCTGAAAGTGAAAAGGGTGAATTTGAAGTACTTACTGATGAACATCAAAGACTACAGCCTTCAGTATGGATTTCAACTTAACATAAAGAAAACAAAAATCCTCACAACTGGACCAATAAGCAAAATCATGATAATCAAAGTTGTCAAGGATTTCATTTTACTTGGATCCACAATGAATGCCCATGGAAGCAGCAGCCAAAACATCAAATGATGTATTGCATTGGACAAATCTGCTGCAAACTACTTCTCTAAAGTGTTCAAAGAAAAGATATATTTTCAATTACATATATAGGAGTCCTGGTGTGGCACTGTAGGATAAAGCACTGGACTGCTAACCTCAAGGCCCACCAGCCACCTCTTGGAAACCCTATGTAGGGTCACTGAGTCAGAACCAACTCTACAGCACTTAACAACAATGTTTATCCATAAAGGTACATACAAGTAAATGTGTATTTGTGTATAGGTGTATCTGTAAGCCTATGTAAATACATGTTTATGTGTACTGCATACATAACCACAAAGAAGGCAGCATTACAGAGACTTCCAAACAACTCACAAAATTGGTTTCCTAGATTGGTTTACTAGTCTCAGGGGACAACTAAGTCAATTGGCATAATATAGCTCACAAAGATAATGTTTTATATACTAGTTTGGAGAATAGTCTGGAGTCTTGAAAGTGAGCAGTCATCTAAAATACAACTATTGGTATCTACTCACATAGAGCAAAAGAGATGGAAGAAAATCAAAGGTTCAAAGAAGAAACAGTCCACAGAACTAACAGTCCATATGAATCACAGCTTGAGAATTAGCTGGGTCTCATCAAGGATACAATAGAGGTCATGGACAGAATGGGAGAAAATAACATAGAACAAAACTCAAATTGAGACTAGAGGAACCCCTGAGATAACCTTTGAACTTGAAATTGAAGTTATTTCTGCAGGTTACCTTTCAGCCAAATAATAGATTGACTTATAAAGTAAACAATATCACCCTTGAGTAATGTGCTCCCTTAAACAATTAGCAATATGCGACCAAATGCAATGTGCGACCAAATGGTCAAAAATTACCCAAAAACAAACATGAGAAGGCAAAGAGGGGAAGGGAAGCTAGGGAAGCTAGATCAGAAAGAATGGAAATAAGAATGCTAACACATTATCAAAATTGTAACCAATGGCATGGAACAATTTGTACAAAAATTGTTAGGAGAACCCAAGTTGCTGTGCAAATTTTCACCTAAAACACAATAAAATATATTTTTAAAAAAAGACACAGTTACAGGGACAATGCTTCAAGTTGGACAGACATGCGCAGGCAGCATATGAGTGGGCAAAGGAGAGCTGTTGATGTGGTTTGAGGTATCAGGCTTCCTGGGAGGGGAACCCCAGCTGGGACAATAAGGGAGAGGGTGGAAGGAAGGTTACTTTCAGGGACTCAGCCACAAGTATTGAATAGTAACAGCCCTTGGCCAAAGCCAGCATCCATAGTTGAACAGCTGTCAATCAACTGCCTCTGGCAATCAATGGGACTGGGAAGAAAGGAACAGCAGCCTAGTGGGGTCAGTGATGACACAGTCATTTACATGAAGGTGATACAATCCATGCCTGCTGCCCCCCAGAATGACATCAAAGATGATACTGCAAAGAAAAGGCAACCAGAAAAGTCAATCAGGGCAAAGGGGACACACCAAGATCATGCTGGAGATAAGAAGGCATAAGACCTAAGTGGTGTGGAGGTAAGGCACTTGTCCCATTCATTTTCCTTGGCTCCAAAGAAGCAGCAGAAAGCCCCAGACGCAGGGGCTCTAACTTCACCCTCTCCCAGAGCAAGGACCTAGGGCTGGTCAGATTCTGAACTTGGTTAAGGGCCTTTCCTGACACACATGCCCCCACCTCCTCATCGAAACCACATAGATGAGCAGCAGAATTCTCAGAGAAGCAAGGAAAGCTCAAGCCGCCCCCAACATCATCACGTGCCTGCATCCTCTGGAAGTGAGTCGGTTCCAGCTACAAAAGGCATTATTTATAAACAGCCACAAGGCCTGACGGTGGAAGGCCTCAGGTTCTCGGGTATCCACCAGCAGTACTACAGGTGAGGGAGGGGGCAAGCCCCGCCCCTTGGCACTGTCAGAGGGGAGCGGGGGCGGGGTGGCGGGCGGGAGCACCAGATCCCGCAATCTCAGATTTCATAGTAAGAGCCAGCAGGGGAAGTGGCGTCAGCAGCTGGCGTGATCAATTCAATAAATCAGAGGTAGCTGGGAAGGAAAGCAGGGCAGGAGCCGACCCCGGCCCCCTAAACTGGCCCAGTTGCCCCGGGGAGCCCATTGCTGCACCCAGCACAGAGTCGCAGTCCATGCCGAGGGGTAGGGTTTCCTGCGGGCCGAGAGTCGAAGGGTAAGGATACCCTCCTCGGCATCCTCAACACCCTTCCCCAACTAGCCGCTGTCCTCTGAGCCAGCGCCCAGCCCTGGGACTGGGAGTTCCCAAGCCAGAGCCGCCACCCAGTCCCTAGGCTCCAGAACCCCAAAACCCATGCTCAGGCGCAGGCAATTCCTCTAGACACAGGCGGCTCTCTAATTCCGATCTGGTAGAGGGGGAGCTCCAGGCTGCCAGCACTGCTCGGGAAAGGAAATCCGATCTCCCTACTTCTGCCCGCGGGCAAAGAAAGTGAAAAGGCAGGTAGAAAGTATGGAACTGAGGGCACAAGGGAACAATCAGGAGCCAAGAGCATCAGCTACCCCCAAGCACCAGAGGCAGCCGGGAGTCCCAGCAAAGTGGTAGGGTTTAGGGAAGCAAGATTTCCCCCAAAACCGCACTGGGTGCTTCCGGCTCACGTGTGGGCCTGGAGTGCTAGAGTCCCACTTCACCTCCAGCTGTAGGCCCTCGACCTCGCGCCAGCGGGAAGAGCTCCAGAGCGAGGACCGCGTCTCTGACACGGTGTGGAAAAGGCACAAAGCGGTCGTAGGAGAGGAGGAAAAAAAAGAATAGCTGCATTCTCTCCCATCCCCGCAGGAAATGTTAAGACGTAGGACACGGGCAAGAAAAGGCACCGCAGCCTTGGAGCCCCCGAAGGCCTTGTCCGCGGTCGTCCAAGTGAGGACCGGCCTGCGGGCTGGGGTGAAGGGCAGATAGCCAAGGTTTCTGCTTGCTCACCTTCTCCTGCGCGCGGGTGAGCTTCTTCTGCACGTTGCTGGCGATCTTCCCTGCTGTCACCCCCTTGCTGCCCAGCTCAGCCATCGCGACACTGGCCTCGCCCTTGGCTGGCTGATATCACGCAGGGAAACTGTGAACGCAGTGTCCCAGTCCCGCCTCGCGCCCAGCTCCGACTCTGCTCCACGCCGCGCACTCGGCCAGCGCCCGGACTGACGGAGGCTGAACGTGCGCCCGCCCGCAAACGACGCGAGGATCGAGGGAGGGACGCTAGGAGGCAGGGAGGAAGGGGCGGGCCTCAGGCGACGGTCAGAGCCCCCCGTCCTCCCCCTCCGGTCAAGACACTGCCTTTTAAAGGGCCACTCCCGACACAGGAACCGCACCGCTGGCGAGGAGATAGCGGCACGCTGGGGCAACCCCGGTTGTGGCAAGCATGATTTCTGCAAAGCTCGGGTGACGCTGTCCTGGGGCGGGGATTAACTCGACATTCCTGGGTCCAGCGCTGCCACGGGCCTGGCACTTTCGTCCTCCTCACAAGTAAGAACTTTCTGCAGCGCAGAAAAGAAAGCAGTCGCGCGTAGGTGCGGTCTTTAAAAAATCAAACATGCAGTGCAGAGCACCGTTTGGTACACGCCCCAGTAATCTGTGGGCTTGGACTCGGAGGGTGCTGCCAGAGTCTGTCTCCTTCCTTGCTCATCGCTGAACCTAACGCACCTCCTCCTCCCATCCTGATTGCTCACTGGTCTCCACTTGGGTTCTCTGAGCATCTCTGGGGCATCTCAATATCTCTACCTAGACTCACGCAAAGAGTACCATCTTCCAGTTTGCTAATAATTATTGTTGTTGTTGTGTGCCGTGGAGTCGATTCCAACTCATAGCAACCCTTTACAGGGTTTCCGGGGCTGTAAATATTTACGGGAGCAGAAAGCCTCGTCTTCTCCCGTGGAACAGCTGGTAGTTTCAAACTGCTGGTCTTGCGGTTCGCAGCTCGATTTGTAACCACAGCTTCTTGCTAATAATTGCAGAAAGCCTCATCTTTCTCCTGCTGAATAGCTGGTAGTTTCGAACTGCTGACCTTGCGGTTTGCAGCCCGATTGGTAATCATACGCTACCATAGCTTCTTGCTAATAATTAATAACTATTAATTATTAATCACCACACCCTAGCATTACTAAGTGCTTAGTATGTGTTAACCATTGTGCTAAAGGTTTTGTCTACAGCATCCTCACAAGGCAGGCACTATTATTTTCACTTTACAAATGAAGCATGGAAAGACTTAGAACTTGGTCTGTGAGTCCACATCCCAAGGCCTTTAACCACTAGACGTTGGGTGGGCTCTTGGTTACAAGAGGGGAAAGGATCAATGATCCTTTAGTCATAGTCTATTAGTTTATTATTAATTGCTTCGCCAACAGCCGATCTCAAACTTCTAAATTAATTTGAATTAATTATTCAGTCCACTGATCCCTTCCCCACTCCGTAGATATGGCAGGTGTTGTGAAGCACTTTGCTGACCTAGAAGTAAGGGACATGACTGAGTTGAGCAGTAGAAGCCCTACTGAGGATGCCTAAACATGTCCAGTGTGAATACAGAAGGCAGGGTGGGACCTAGTGGACCACACAGATCTGTCTTGGGAGAGGGTTTCCCTAGAGGGTTCCTGAAGAAGGTGTTCACCACCAAAAAAGGGCTTTTGCAGACCAGACACCAAGCCCCTCATATAAGTAGGGGAACCAAGGTCTGGGAAAACAAAGTTCATCCTGGGTTCTGTAACCAGCACACTCTTCCCTCTACCTGGAAGGCCTTCCTATCCTTTCTCTGCATATTCTTACTGATTGGTCCTGTCACCACTCAGCACTGAGTGCCATGATCTTGTCCTATTATTGTCCCAATTTTGTAAAAAGATGACTGAGGTTCAGTAATTGTATCATTGCTGAAGGTCACATGTAAAGCAAATGACAGCAGAGAGTCAGACCAGGCCTTCCTGCATGAAAGCCTTCAGTGCTGCACTGAAGTACTTCCCAGAACAAACATCAGTCAGTGCACAAAAGCAGTGGTATCACTAGCAGAGTGCAAGGGTTGCAGACTTCACCAGGTGACACTTTCAAAGGTGATGACCAAGATAACGGTCTATAAATTTTTTGTGCAAGTCTTCAGCAGAAAGGTATTATTTTTTTTATCCCTGTAGTTAGTTATAATGATGGACTCCTGGAGTGGCGCTGTAGGATCAGCACTAGACTTCGAACCACAAGATCGGCAGTTCAAACCCACAGCTGCTCCTTGGAAACCTATATAGGGTCACTGTGATTCAGAACTGACTCAAAGGCACTTAACAACAACAGTTGTAACAATAAAAACATCTTTCATAAACCAAATTTACATGTATCAATATGCCTACAAGGATAATGCTATGCTAATTAATTTTCTGAACTGTCATTACTCAAATACAATGAAGCATCAAATATCATGGTTTTGTCTGCACAGGCTACAAGCTAGTGTTTTAATGCTGCAGGTATTTTTGTGGTCATGAATTTTGTCAAATTTTCTGATGTTTTAACTCCAATATTGTGGTTCATATTTTTGAAACTTATGTCAATAACTTTTTTTGAGAATGAAATAGGAATTAAAGGAACATGAAAATAAGAATAGCAAACCCACTGCCATGAAGTCTATTCTGACTCATGACAATCCTCTAAGAGAAAGTACAATTGTTCCATAGGGTTTCCAAGACTGTAAATCTTTATGTGAGCAGTCAGTCTCGTCTTTCTTCCATGCTGTATGATCCCACTTATGTGAAATATAAAAAATAGGTAATTAATAGACCAAAGTTTATTAATGATTACCAGGAATGGGTGGTGGGATATAAAGGGCAATCATTGCTGAGAGGCACTGAATTTCTATTAAGTATGATATAAAAAAAAATTGAAAACATGAGTATACAACATGGTGAACATAATTGATGTCACTGAATTGTACTACTAAAAAATGTTGGGAGGGTATGAGGCTAAAGTTGACAGGGGCCAGCTTGCCCGCCCCTCAGAAAGATCCTATGTAGAAAACAAGATGAATAAGAGTTGAGAGAAGGAGAGATGGTAACAGAGAGAGAAGAGAGAATTAACAAGATTATGAGAACTTGGTTCTAGCCAAGCCTGAATTCTGGCACCCACCACCACCCCCAACTATTCAGCCAAATGAACCAATGCATTCTCTTTTTGCTGAAGGCAATTAAAAGTCAGTTTCAACTAAAAAAGCCATGACTAAGAAACCATTATCATAAGAGTATCCTCTGATAGGTAGTTTTGGAGTGGCACTGTAGGATAAGCACTGGACTGCTAACCACAAAGTCAGCAGTTCAAACCCACCAGCTGCTCCTCAGATACCCTATACAGGGTCTCTATGCATCAGAACCAACTCAACAGCACTTAACAGCCAACAATCCTCTGACAGGCAACCCTAATAAAGGCTGCCAAAAGAACAAACAAATCTGTGTTGGAAGAAGTGCAGCCAGAGTGCTCCTTGGAGGCCTTGATGGCCAAACTTTGTCTCTCATACTGACATATTGTCAGGAAGGACCAGTCACTGGAGAAGGATATCCTGTTTGGTAAGGTGGAGGGTCAGAGAAAAAGAGGAAGACCCTCAACAAAATGGATTGGCCAGGTGGCAGCATCGATGGATTGAAGTGTGGCAACAGTAGTGAAGTTGGCCCAGGATCGGACAGTGTTTCAGTCTGTTGTGCATAGGGTCTCTATGAGTCGGTGCCGACTCGATGGCACGTAATAACAACAACAATATGTCAAATGTTGTTGTTGTTGATTGCCGTCAAGTCGGTTCTGACCCATAGCGACCCTGTATATGGTTTCCAAGGAGCAGCTGATGAGTTTGAACTAAGACCTGCATGGAGTCCTGGTGTGGTGCTGTGGGTTGTTAATGCACCAGACTGCAAAACCATTTGAACTACAAGGTCAGTGGTTCAAGCTCACCAACTACTCCTTGGAAACCCTATACAGGGTCGCTATGGGTTAGAATTGACTCAATGGCTCTTAACAACAACAACAACAAGATCTGTATCTAACATAACAAATTCTTCTCCACTTGTTCTGGGCTACTTGACACTGCTTGCATGCAACGGAGCCCTGGTAGTGTAATGGATTATGAGCTGGGCAGCAAACCATGCAGTCAGCACTACCACTCATTCTCAAAGACTCAGCTCAGGTATTACCTCTTCCAAAGGCCATTCTTGATTCACCTAACCCAGGGGTGGGGAACCTTTTTTCTGCCAAAATTTATATCATCATTTGAGGACTAGACAAAATTACCAACTTAAAAATTAGCTTGCTATATTTGATCAAATATTTAATTAATTCACCCCAAGACTCCATGGCATATAACAATAACAACAACAATGTGATGGCTGGAACTGCAGTTACCTTGGCAGGGCCAGACCAAATGATTTCATGGGCCTTATACCCTGATAACCCAACAAGGTTAAATGACCTTCCTTTGTATTCCCCAGAATACACCCTTTGTTCACCTTTATCACACACCCAGAGTGGGGATAATGCCACACTGGAAACCATTTCTTAGCTCTGACCATTACTGAGAGTTCACCAGGCCAGAAATTTGTGCTGCCTTGTGCCTTTTGATGATCATAGATGGAAGAAGAGAGTACATTAATTTGGGGAGAAGAATCATATCCTGCTCAGACTTCAAGAAATGAAAGCTGATAGTATAAAGTTTTCGCTGCCCCTCTGGGTAAATGGCATACTCAGTTTCAGGACCATAGCCTTCAACTGTAATCTCTGTTAGCTCTGACTGTTAGCTCTGACACACTCCCTCCAGATACTCAACAAATGTATACCAGATATTACACTGGCTACAGTGTGGTCCACTCATGAATCAGAACTGACATTCAGCACTGAGAGGGTGGATACCTACTAGATCTGGTGTCACATACCTAACTGGGCAATCAATGCCACCTGCCTTTTTGTCTTTCCACACATGAGGGGGTTTTAAAGTGTTCATGGAAAAAAATTCCATTATCTTTTATATATACTTTTTTAACTTTTTACTGTAAATTGGGTGAAGGTTTATAGACAAGATCA